ATTGAATATGACAGAGAGTGCCCCAAACCAAAAGTAATGTCTCCTGTCCTTTCAGCGTTAGATACTGACTGTATTTTATGGTACCTAGTAGAAGAAATGACAGTCAGGTGGAAAATGAATTAATGAGAGCAGCAGCAGCATTTTAACTGGTGAGTTCACAACTTTTTGATAGTCCATTTGTTTCAGGTGGCAGTTTTTGAGGTGACCTCATTTGTGTTTGTCTGTTAGATCAAACCCTTATTATTGTCATTACTGCTACTTCTGTCAGGGACTGCTGTTTTCCTTGTCTGTTATACATGAGCTGCCAAGCAAGTAAAATAGAACCTGCAGCTTTGTTTAAATGACAGCTGCTTAAGCAGAAAATGTTTTGCCACTTCTTCAGTATTTGTTTTCTGGTTGCAGGTCTGTTGATGCACTCAAGCCATGGGCCATCATTATTTTCTCGGTTTTTTGCTTCCTTTAAAGTATTTCTAATTTACTAACAAACTCTTAGCAGAAGACAGTTCAATGGCTTAAGCAGGTTCTTCTAAATGCATTTTCCTCTTAAAGCAGAGCATTAAATGAAAATCAGATTTGCCTTCTTTATGTGTTAACTTGTGCCTCATGCCTCAGTAGACACAGAAATACCCTTATACAGCTTGTAAAATTTCGCTGTGCTGTGTTTTGGAGTCAACAGCTGTTCAATTAATTGTGCACTTCTGTTCATGCCCTCACAGGCTGGGGAAATGCATTGTCTTCAGAAGGGCTGCACAGCTTTAGCTGGTAGGCTACAACTCAGTAAACAATTTGGTATTTCCCAAGATAGGGAAGAGCATTTCCAGCTCATTATTTTTAGCTCTGTGGGATTAAGTTGGCTAAAATGCATTAAAATATTGTCATTCAAGTAAACAGGCTTCTTAAAAACGATAGTAAACAAATCTGTTGAGTAGGATGTTGACATATTCCTAGTTTGTAGAGTTGTTAAGTTGCTCTCATGTTAACATTTAAAACCACAGCTACTGCAGAATAGGATGGGAAAATAATATAACTTTATGAGAAAACAATAGCAAGATTAAGTTTGTAGCTGAAAGTATGATAAAATGTTAGACAAATTGGGACAATTTTTGTTAGACAAATGGGAGGTAAGGAATAAACTGTTCAAATACATGAACTCACCTCCTATGGAGTCCTTACACTTTTCTGTAAGAGTGAAACTTTTCCTCGGGTCCCTGTGTAATAGAATTTGCTAGTGTTTCACAGCTGGAAAAAACAAGTGTGATGAGATCAAGTGATTTACCCAGGACTCTGAAACAGGTCAGTAGGGTATAAGGGTTACAGTTCAATAGTCTTTTTACTCTGAGCCCCATGTATATTTACAGCCACGTTACTTAAGGTTGAAAAAATGCTCTTAGCAAGTTCATGCTCTTAGTGTGACTTATTCCCTTCATATCTAATCTCTCTGTTTTCAGTGACAGGACCCAGTGACCCCTTCTTGACTACTGTTCTGTTGTAATGTCCTGCTTTAAGTAATAAAAAACTTTTCTTTCATATCTAATTTGCCCTCTCCTTTTGTAAATGCATTACTTCTTGTTCTGCATGCTTTTCAGTCTTTATGTTCTCCTCATATATGTTGTTTCTATATTAGTGAAATCTGCAGTCTGTTGGCTACTTGTGGCTCTTGAGATTTTTGGGGATGGGAGTTGAGCAAAGCTAAAGAATACAAATGAACCTTTTTTTTTTTAACCATGTGCAGTTCCCTTCTCAAAGGTTTCTTTCTTAAAATAATGTGGCAAGATTATTCAATAACTGACTCACTTTCTACTGGTGTAAACATACCTATTTCCCTTTTACTTTTCCTTCCTTGGAGTGCTCTGTTGCTCCCCCCTTGGATGCACAGTCAATAGGTAACATTATCCATGAGTTAAAATGAGAAACGTTTTTACAGAGCTTAGTGTAAGTATTCCTGCTGGACTAGTCTCAAACATAATTTGAGGAGTGATTGAACAGAAGTTGATAAAACATTGTATTTAAAGAAAAATCAGTATGTTTCTATTTCCTGGAACTTATGATTTGGACAATCATCAGTTCACGGGTTGTCTAGCAACAGGATTCCTCTTCCAAAAACTAGTTCAGATGTTCCATGGTTATATTCCTTACAGTTTATTTAAAAATAATCCACCTGCCTCATGATAGAACATTAACCAAAGTTGTGGATTGAGAATAAAAATTTCAAAATTGAAAATTCATGAGCAATTAGTACGTATTTAGAATGGAAGGACGACATACTCCGTTCCCTGCTACCATACCAAAGTATGGTTCAGCTGGTGAACAAGCAAGGGAAAGGGGAGCTGACACGGATGGCAGTGTGTGGAGAAGGTATGTTATGGAGCAGCAAGAAGAATGTCTATTTTTCTCTTTCCTCCCATGGGAGCATAAGAATTATCTTGAATACTTCACTGGCAAGTCACAGAAAATGGTGTGATCCAGAGCGTTTGCTGTGTGAGGCTTACAAAAGTTATAAATTCAATTCCCTTTCTTGTCTTCTAAGGATTTGTATGTTGCGTGGAACCAGTCTGATGTGACACTTGTTGGAACTAGGTGCATTTGTTTGTGATTTTGGGCTAAGTGGAGAATAGTTAGAAGTTCTTGTAGTTTGCATAAATGATAGTTTACATGTAAGAAAGAAGTCAAAATTTTCACTTTTCCGAATGTGTGATGAGGTTCCTGTCTTTTTCCTTAAAATACTATGGCAAAGTGAGTTCCTGCTGTATGTTACCATGTCTTCATTTTCTCTTTCTTCTCTTCCACTGGTAGAGTAGCCTAAAAAAGGCTTTACTTACGCACCTTTTAACGTTACCCAAATATTCCTGAAGTTAATCAGGGATTAACACCATTTTTGCTCTGTTTCTTCAATTGCAAGTGACTACTACAACCTAAAGATTATAACCCGTTAGAACCCCAAGGCTCTTACAACTCCAGATGACTGGGCTGGCCTGCACTGTGCAGACTGCAATGGCTGGGGGTGTGCAATGTGTGTATAATGAGAAGATGCTCCGTGGACTGCGTGGCTCGTAGCGTTACACAGTCACACGAAAGCAGGTTCCTCTCGGCCCTGAATCCGTGATCCCGTTTGCAGTTCTGTAATTGCCACCAGGAGAAGACAGGAATAATGTCAGGGGTTTTTTATGGCTCGTTGCTCGTTGCCTAGCAGCGTTGATCAACAAAAGTACAACCTTTTCTTTTCCTGTAACCTCGGTGAACCCAGGCTTGGACAGAGATCACCAGCAGGGAACAAGGGGTTCTGAAGTCGTGTGAAACTGTTGCTCGGTGTCTGTTAGCAGCGTCTGAGGGAAACCGTCTCTTCTTGACCTCTTTGTTACCTTTGCCCTCTGGTCTTCCTTCTCTCTCTCGTCAAATCTTAGAATAAAGCAGGCATCATCCTAGGAAGATGTGGAGGATGAGAAGTTTAGAGACAAGTCAACCATGCTAAGGTGTATCCTGCTGTTTTTCGGGAAGAAGAGCTGAGCTGATTCTCAGACCGTGGTGTCAGACCCTCCTCTCATGGAAGGAGAAACAGACTTCAGCAGTCACAGTAAGGTTTATTCTTATTTAGAGAAACTTTCCAAGTATTTTAGGGTAGGCAAAATAATCCATAGAGGAAAAGGAAATTAGGGTGCTAAGAATTTCCCGGTTTACATCTTTTAGAAGGGATTTCATAAGCTGAACTAGGAGGGTCATTGAATGTGTTTGAAAATGATTAGGGATCTGCACCGAATGTATGTTTTTTGTCTGATCAAATCTGGCAGAGTCTGTAAAATAAGTGCAAAGAGTAAGTTGCTCGTTTCACCTTAATTCCAAACTGTACATTGTTAGTCTAAGTGGACTAAGAGGAATGACTTTTCACACCCTTGCTTGCTGAACAGAGCAAACTATGTTCACCAAAACAGGATTTCTTTATTTTGAGCTGTGAATATGATTTGTCTGTCTTCACTGAACAGCAGCTGCTAATATTTGGTATCTGCAGGACTCAAAACAAGTAACTGAAGCCATGTTCTTAACTTCTGATTTACAGAAGTAGGGAACGTAGGACAAGAGCTACAGATCAAAAACAGTTTCAGTAAAAGTAAAAAAACCCTTTTTGTTGTTTTTAAGTGCTGTGATGTAGCACTTATAACCTGACTGGTTCTTTCTGCATGCAGTGGAAATAGAACCTGAGCAGATTTGAAAATTAATGTTTCAAACTGTAGGTAAATCAAATACTGTTATCCTTTGGTTTTCCTTTTCACTATCTATTAGAATGTGGCATTCTCTTATAAGTGAAAAAGTCTTTATTGTGGGACTTTGGTGCTGTCATTTCCACATCTGCAACAACTGGGCAGACCATGTCCACTGTACAGCACTAAGACAACTTGAAAGCCACTGAATGCTTTCTTTCTGTACCGAGATTATTTTGGTATTTGGATTATTATTCAAGTTATTTTGAAGTATCATGTGTTGAAAGTCCTGGTTTCATGTCTTGCAAAATGCACGTGGCTTTCAGTGTAGCTGGAAGACGCTGCTCCACACACCCATTTCCACCACACACAATTCCTTGCTGTGCACTTTCTTATATTAGAAATGCTACTGACCCTCCACACCCCGAGGTCAGGAAAGGTCAGCATTTGAGCACGTGCCTTACACATGATAGAATAGGGGTCCTGGAACACAGGCTGTGGCTGAGTTTTGTCCCATTAGATGAGTCAGTTTTCCATTTTTGGGGTGGTAAATTTCATATGCAATGAAACAGGAAATTTCAGAGGGAAACTGGGGTAATTAAAATAATCCTGTTCGGCCCACTGCCAGTTCTTTCATCTTAGAAAACATTGCTGTGGAGACACGCACAGATCCTGTGAATTAGTCTGGTCTGGATAGCTATCATCTAACGTTTTTGAACATTTGAATCTGAAGTGCAAAGACATTTCTGTGGGACAGTTTGAATGCTTTTGGTTTCATAATTTTTCTTTTTTCTCTCTTGGTTCCTCTTAGAGATTAAGGCTGGACTAAGGGGATCCTCAGGCTAGTGTGGCATTTCCTCATATAGACTGCATGACAAAATCACCCCATAAGAAGAGATTTTTATGAGAAAGGCTTGTATAAATTATGAAGAAAAAGAATTTTGCATTGAAAACCTGAAACAGATATTTAAATATTGCGCAAGCTGGATAGAATTAAGGATAGTCTTGTTTTTTAGTTTCCAAATCTAAAAGCCATAACATTTTCTCTCCTCCTGTGCTTAAATCTAGAGTGTTAATAATAAACTACTTTGGTTGTGCTCCGAGACGTTGCCAAAGAGAGAAACAAATTGCTACCGGTGCCACAGATAAATCCTGTTATTCTGAAAATTATTCCTCAGCCAGCTTCTGGGTAACTTAATTTTCTAGATGGTTCTTGATGAAGCAGTGGTGGAATCAATTGCTCAGAGATTTTTGCTATGACGACAGCGGTGTGAGGGCAGCGAGTGTGACCGGGAGCCCGGCTGGGAGGAGCCGCATTCCCGTGCGTGGATCTCAGCCGCAGTCCATAGGGCTCAGCCCATAGGTCCCCTCAGCAGTACCTATAGAGAGCCCTTAGATGGTGCTGTATAGCAGCGCTCGGCCCTTCGCCGCGGTACCTCCGCTGCCTCCGGGATGCCGGTGCCCCGCCTCAGGGCGGGCTGTAATGCACTGGTAAAAGGCCTCCTGGGCCTTTCATCCCGTGCTGATTTTGGGCCATGGATGGAATTTCAACTTCTTTTGATGAAGTACGTGAGTTTAAAAAAAAAATAAAAAAATCCAAGATGTTGCAGGAATAAGTTTTAGCAGCAAAAGTGGCCATCAGGACCTGTGTGTTCACATCAAGGTGTTCCGCTCAGTCAGAGCTTTCTGCCCAGGAGAGGGAATGCCCCCTTTTGTTTCCTAACACTTATACTCAACCACTAAGTGATGCGTTTTCCTGCCCTTTGTTTTCTGTATATCCATGTATCCATAGTCCAGGTCTAAAATTTTGCCATAGTTCAGTCTGAAGAACCTGAAAAAGCTGTCTCTGAGCACTGCTAATTAGGATCAGTAAAGGAAATCTGTCAGTAGAGACATATGAAATATTAAAATCAAACATGGATTTCAATAACTGCAATAATTTAATTCTTATAAAACTTGAATCATGCCATGCTTGGACACCCATGTCAAATATATTACTATCTGTCTCTAAAACAAAGTGCTTTTTAAATAATAATTAAGGAGTTTTTGAGGGCATTTGAGGATCATCGTGATGGAAGAAGAGTGTTCACCCTGGGAACTTCTTCACATAAATATGGGTGCAGTGTTGTGGCTTTCAGGTTAAGTCTTTCCATGCTGTGAAACTCACTTTATTTCTGAAGAATTAGGGATGCAGATTTAGGAATTTGAGTTGTGCCGTCAATTACAAAGGACTGGAGGAATGGAATTTCCTCCAGCAGGATGGGTTTCAAACCACAAAGTAAATTTTATTTGGAAGCCGTTGGTGAAATTATTAAAGAGAGTTATTAGACAACTCTCAAATACTCTTGGTATTTAGACTTTTCTTTTGTAGTGAGGCAGGAGAGAACTGAGATGTTGAAAACAAATTGATCTCCGCCCCTCAGAAAAGACTTATGTGATTGGTTTTTTCTAAGTTGGGAATATAGCCTTCCTATAGTTTTACTGTGTGCTTATGCACGTTCCTGTAATTTGTAAATGTTTCCCACCTGTTACTGCAATTTGAGGGGTTCAAGCCTGGGAATATTCTGCCAAAGGAAATGAAATATGCATATGAAATAATTCATGTTTTCAGAATGACTTCATTTAGTCATGACTTTTATTTACTTAGAGAGAGAGAAAGAGAAAGAGCTGGTGTTGTTACAATCTCTACTCTATTTTTTTAATCTCTGTAACTTCCTATAACCCAGCTTTTATTTTTTTGACATTTGAAATGTCCCAGACTGCATCAACTGAGTATCCACTGTGTGTTCCACTTGTCCCAGTAATTCTCATCCTATGGTCTCTGTATGCTGTTATTTTAGGTGTATCCTTTGCCATTATGTGGATTGTTAACATTACCCTGAATTCTGCTGCCGTGGAGGTGTCAACAAGTACTAAGATTTTCTTTCTTGTGTGTTGAGAAACTCTGTAGCTGAAATCACTGTGACAAGTTAAATGTTACTTGGTGGTGACCTGTAGCCTAAAGCTGGTGGCTGTAAGTTCTCACCTGTGAAAGAGGAATCTTGTAGCTCTGCACAATATGTTCTTCCAGCTGCAGGTGAATTTCTATTGTGTTAAAATCCTTAAGCAGCTGTAGCAACGTGTCACGCTGATCTGGCATTTTGCATCCTCAGAGCTCTGCTCAAATATTTGAACTGAGTAAGGCAGTCCACTGAGCTCAGAGGTAGGTGAGTGTCACAACAACTGTACAGAAAAAGAAACAGCACCTGGGAGGTTAAAGCAACTTTTCCTCATCATGCAGCAAGTCAATGGTGGGGCTGGAATTACAGCCCAGGAGGTTCCCGGCTCATGCTACACCATGCTGTGGAGAAAGGTCATTTCCCAAAATAGTACAGAAGGTTTGTTATTGATAATAGGGTAACAAAGGGCTCTAAATGTATTAATAGGTCACTGTGTACTGCCCTTAATAATACATAATTTAGCAACCTTGCAAAACGGGCTACATCATATTTTTCTGCAGCAATATCACTTTCACAGTAAGTTTTGTCTACTACACTCCGGGTAGGTATTTTTGTTTTGGCTCTTCTAACACAGCTTTATTTAAAGTAAATAGGGACATTTACAAAGTAGGCATAAATAGCCTCCTGATTAGCAGCCACATTAAGCTGCGCATTCAGCTCCCTTTCAGGTCAGCACAGCTCCTCTGTCTGCCCAAGGAGAATAGGGAGGTGATGGAGGATTTTGGTGGCAACATTGTCCCTGTGTTGTGTGACACACAGGCAGCGCTGTCATACCTGGGCACTGCAGGAGCTGAGGTGCAAGTGTGGGAGCCCACAGAGCTGCCAGATTTGGTGATGGTCTTAGGCCTTCCAGGGAGGAGGACAAACCCAGTCCCCACCCAGTGGGACAGGGTAGAGGATGCTGAATACTTGTGGAGGGGTTTTCATTGAGATTTGGTCCCAACCATTCCTCAAATGACCTTGGGGATAGGATATTTGGTAGTTGTTGTTGGATCTTGTAAATTTTTATCTTAATCTGCTTGTTGTAAAATGCTGTTGATCCCCTTTGAACTTTATTACTTCAGCAGTGTACTTACTGAAGATTTCTGTTTCTTCTCGAAATGAATTATTTGAACTGCTAGGTTATTCAGCAAATTCAAAAGTAGAAAGTATGAAACAAATTTATTTTTTTACCGAGCACCTGGATCTGCATCTACAATTGAGAGAGGAACAAAATGGTATTTTGTCTTAGCCAAATCTGAAGAATTGCAGTGAATAATGGTGAAAAGAACAACATTCACAAAGCAAATAGGTATCAAATCAATGTACTCAGCCCCGTTTTGGTTTGAGTTTGGGTGGAGTAAGTGTTTCCAAACAGGTAAATACAAGAGGAAGAAAAGGTGGAAAACAAAATATGTAAGGAAAGTAAAGAAGCATGTTCTCTCCTCTTTGTTTCTGTGGATATACGTATTTGAATTAAGGAAACAATGGGAGCTTTATGTGCTGCATTTGCTTTTTAACGCATGTTTGTTGTAGTAATCAGATCTGTTGTTGTGGGCATGGGAATGCCAGCTTGGCTCTTCTGGTCACTGACTTGTGAACATGACCTTCTGGAGGTCAAAACACTGGAGAGCTTGCTCTGTTTGATTCTCAGAAGTACAGTCATAATAATTATTGCTTTGAAAAAACAATGTAGATGTTCCCTATCTAGTTTGTTACTGGTACTGAATTGTGGGATGGTTTTTGTGGTTTTGTTGTTGGTGGTGGTTTTTGTTTGTTTGGTTGGGTTTTTTTACTAATTAATCTGTTTAACTATTTTCTAGTGGACTCAGAGTTTTTGAGGTTTGTTTTTTGTTGGGGTTTTTTTGTTTTGTTTTTTTTTAAACCACAGTTGAGTTTTCATGAACAAAGTTGACTGATCAGAGATTGAATTGTAAATGTTATTGTTTGGTGCTTGATCAGACATCCTGTGATCATTTTTCCCAATGATCAAGTCAGCCAGATATAGTCAAACAGTCCCACATAGGAAAAACTGTGTACTTTCAAGGAGAGAGAGAGAAAAAAAAGTCTCTTGTGATTGATGCCAAATAATTCATGGCAAATGCCGATGGCTCCATAATTTCAGCATTGAGTACTGAGTACATCTGCCTCCCTTACTAGGGGACTCTAGAGAGACCTGACTAAAACATCCTATAAAAGAAGAGACAAATGATCCCTTTAGAGAGAGAGAGAGTCAGTTCATGCTCCTGGGCAGTGCAAAGCTTGAGTTCTTTTGGCAGAAAGGGAGGTTTCAAGGTCTGTGTGGTTTGTATTTTCTGGCATCAGATGGCTTTGTGGTGCCTCTTTTTATGAATCCTGTCCAAGAGTTAGGGAAATAGCTGTCAGTCCTCAACTTTCCTCATCTGTCAAAACGTATAGTATTTTAACACCAAGCATGACATTAAACAACCCATAGATTTTGTGGTCCCTCACCCAGTCTTGTGGACTTACAGCAAAGCAATCACAGCATGGGTGATTAGATTGCCTACTGTGTAAACTTTATGTTCCTGGATAGTTTTCATGGGGGTAGTTGTACTTCCTCAGAAATTCTTTATTTCTCTCTCAAACCTCACCAAGAGACAGCTATCATGTTGCCTCTATCAAAGATTCAGTTTGAGCTGATTTGAATGTGTGGGGGTTTTTTCCCAGTCTTGGTGAATAGCCTTCTTGCACCACGCTGCTCCTCAAAATGCTGCTCACATTACCAGCTGAAATCTGCATCTGCTGTAGGGCTGTTTGGGATCTGTGAGTTGGCTTACTCTGTCTAGGTAGTGGTGATGTTTTTCTGGAGTTAGGAGAGTTCAGACCTCCTTAAAACTGGACTTCTACTTACAACAGATTTGAGTATTTTTATGTCTTGCTAGAGAGCCTTATTTTTTTCCTGCTGCTCTGTGGCTTGATCAGGGCAAGCAGCACACTGTATATCTGCCTGCACTTGTTTGGCATTGATGTGGTGCCCTGTGTGTTGTCCTCAGATTTACAGCGAAGGTAAAACGAACAACCACATGTTACCATCTTTTTTTTACCCTCCTCGATATGTGAAACTGCTCTGTGGTCCTTCAGAAGCATATTGGGCTACTCAGAACCAGGGAGTATGTGCTAAACAAAATGGTGAGCAGAATTCTAAATTGATTGTCTCTGGTCCAATTCCTTCGAGGTTCTGCACTTCTGATTTGTTTTTGACAAGGGCTTTTTCACTGCTTTGCAATCGGCAAGAACTACTGGGGATATAAAATGTTTTGTAGCTGGAGAAGATACAGGGCTGGAAAAATTAGGAGTCCCAGCTGTTGTGTGAATAACTTTATGGGCATAACTTTTTTTCAAGAGGCTTGTTTGTGGTTAAGTAGTTCAAGGCATTGCGCTTAGTCAGCAAACCTGTTTTCTGTAGCCCAAAATAGATTTAAATCCATTTGGACCCTTCCAGCTCCCCCCCACCTCCCTGTTTTTTTTTTTTCCTTGATATCTTTTGTTTATGTGGTTTGGCCTTGCTAAAACTATCCATCCCTCAAGATTTCCTTTTGCTCATACTTTAAGATTCTCATGAAGGTGTATCTCTACAATCTTTTTGGCAGTGAATTGTACTGTGTATTGTTCCCCTTTTCCTTCCTTCTGTCTGTAGATGGAAAGCTGTTAGAGCTGGTTTGAAATCCATGCTACTTTGAATTACTAAGGGCAAAGTCCCACTTTTGCAAAGCTCTTCTCTTTCATTTCCTTCCCCTCAGTATCTTTGCATCACTGTCTTCTGGCTTCTGCCTGAGAGGGCAGGCTGCAGTCCTGGCAGTGAGAGGCACCTGACAGGTGCAGTCCTCTTCACCACTGGTAGATAAGGGAAGGTGCATTTTTCAGCTGCAGTCAGAAAATGATCCACACTATAATCCTGAGTGTTTCTCTTCAAAAGAAGGTGAACTTCTATCGTGCATCTGACTGGCTGATGCTACAGTATGCAGTCTTTATTTATAGATGTGTGTAAATAAAAATAAATCTTCCTCTGCAGACTGCCAAATTGTATTTCCCAAAAGCTGAAGAAGCTGCAGTCCATTAAATCTGGAGGTGATGACTGAGCCCAAGTCTCTAGAAAAGAGCACCTTTTGTTCAGAAAGATTTTTTTTAATTTGGCTGCTGACATGGGTTGTCTGCTGTTTCTTCCTGCAAGAAAGAAAGAAAATAGTTTTTATTTTTAATGTGTTAAAAAAGTCACCATACCGTGGTATTTAGTGTGCTTGCATTAATTCATGTTTTGAGTTAAAGAAATCATGTATAGTTGAGGGTGTATATGCTACAGTGGCAGCACAGACAAAACAAGATGTGCAGGCAGGGGATGAGGATGGATAATTACTTACAGAACGTGTTCATCTTCTGACATTATTTCTTCATATATATACTTCTGACATCTGCAAGGAGGAGGGTAGATCACTGGAAGCAGGCGCCCTGCGCAGTTGGTGTGGCTGTCTGCTGTTCACCTTTCCAGGATGTGGGTTTGAATTACAGTGCACTCTTTGATCATTATCAGGAAAAAAGAACCATATTTTGAACTGGAAGTACCTTGAGGTTAACTTCCATGCCTTATAAATTAAGAAAAAACACTTCCTTTACTTCAGGGCCAGCCTGTGAGACATGGAGGATGCAATACCTGTTTCCTAGTTAAGCTGCATTATTATTCTATTTTCTGACGCCGCTCATGTCCAAAACAACATGCAGGCTCTGTCAGGGCACAGCCACATTGAGCTTGCTGGTGAGAAAGGGTTGGTTTCAGACCCTCCTGCAGGTCTTTGATTAGAGTCTCAAACTCCTGCCTCCCCACTCCTAGGGAGTTTTATTGCCAATCTCAGGTCCTCCCTTTAATGAGCCAAAGACTGGATGGGCTACAGCACGCGGTTGATTGTCCATTAGTAAGAGAAACTGCTAATTACCAAGAAAGCCTCAAGATGTATTGGTGTGGGCAGATGATGGTGTGTGGACAGGCTGCTGCCTTATCTTGGACTGTCTCTGCCCAGTGTCCCAGACTGCCTGCTGGAGTTGAAAAGGGTGAGACTTTCTTCCTCTGCTTAGCAGCAGTCTGGCCTGTGTCTGTGGGTAGGAGGTTTCCCACCTTCCCAGGAGATCTTTCAAAGACCTCTGAAGGAGGTGGCAGGGAATCTTTCCTTGAGGGTAGCTTTCTTCATTGGTTGTCCTGTTTATTGCCAGGAAGGAAGAGTAAACAAGGCTACCATCAGAATGCAAGTTGAATGCTTCCTCAGGATAGTATAAGATTTCAGATTTCACTTGACTAACAATATTAGTTGTGCTATTGGATGTTGCAGGTGCTTTTCCCCCTTTTTTTTTTTTTTTTTTTTTTTTGTTAACAGGAAAGAAGTCTTCAGAAAGTCCCCCTCAGAAAGCCTGTGATGAGAAGATGTGAGGGACTTGGCAGTCTTACGGGGGAAGCAAAATAATTGATCTGAGTTTGTTAGGACATTGCAACTTGTTACAAGTGAGAAACTGGACACAGCCACAGAAAGAATAGAGCAAGAGGAGACAAGGTATGTGCACTTCTGCTGGGGTGGAAGTTCTCTGGCTTTCAGTGTTTGCACAGTAAATTCAATGTCAACATACATACAGACAGGAGATCTCAGAGGAATTAGAGGTAAATAGCCTTTCTTTTTGAGGTTTCTACAAAGAGCTGCAGAGCTAAGGGATTTCTTTTGAGTTTTTGGCCTGTCATGAATTGGCAGATGACTTGGGAGGAGGTAGTCCCTGGTCATTTGGCAGTGCCAAGAGCAAGCTTTGAACCGTGCAGGCCTAGGGCAGCTAGGAAACATTCCCACTGGATACTTCAGAGTCCTGGCCTTTCCTTGGCTGCCAGTGACAGTTTTAGGTGATCTTTGGTCATTAAAAGTTAGGTGTCTTTGTTCCTCTCTTAGACTAGCCCAGGAAGCTAAAAAAGTTAAATGGGAAACATTTTCTGAACTGTACAGCAGCATACCCCACCTGTTTTGTTTTGGCTCTCTAAATGTGGAGGATTCTTGAAGTATCTGCCACCAAATGAGAGCTTGGATCTTGACAAGCTATTGATTAGGTGACAAAAAAACTAATGACAACACTTATGTGACTTGTGCTGCCAATTGGAAATATAAAAGTTGAGGAACTGGCTTGTTACAGTGACAGAATCAAAAATCCTGATGGAAAATGTCCAGTTTCTACAGATTGCTCAAGAAAAACTCTCTGTGTACAGGAATTTGGGAACCAAATCCAAGGACAATCGGTTAAAAGATGGGCAGTAGTGCTTATTGTCAGGAGCCACAACCGAGGAAATTCCTGTGTCTTTTAAAGCTTGTCTGTGACAGCAAAACATTCTGCTGGAAGAAACCTCTGAGAAATCCCAATTTATGGACTTTTTTTTTTTTTTAATTATTCTTTCTCCTGAAGTTTAGTCAGTAGCATTTACCCTGAGAGCAGGATACTGGTTGGAATTGAGAAATTATTGGGTTCATCTAGCAGGGTCAACCCTTTTACCAGTCGTGGAGGTGAACTGTGAGCAGAATGAGCTTTTCATGTGAGTGGAGAGGGCCAGAGGAGGATAACAGTGATGTTCACAAGTATGGAGTGGCCTCTGCTTGTGGTGAGAGCAAACGGAGTGGGACCGTCCGGCTCAAGGCACCCATAAAATAGCTTGGGGAAGGCTAATCAGGAGCTGTGTTTGCAGCGCAAGCAGTGTGGGGTAATTTCGTGTATGACTGCAGCAAACAAAGTACTTCTTACATATTGGGTTTACATGTAACTTGTGGAACAACAAGGTGCTGAAGATATGAGTAGTTTTAAAGAAAAGACCAGAGTTGGTGACAACAACTCAGTCCTGCCTCTGTATCATAAGTACTTATGTCTCGTGCAGTCTCCTTAGGGGTATGTCAGATGTGATTACTATGGCAACAGCAAAGGGACCTTAATTAACCAAGTAGCTCTTAGAAGAAAACATGATTGGATGCTTTTTTCCCTATTTAATTCCTTGTTACACAAGTTGAGCTGAGCACACGGGTCGGCTCACTGTCGTAAAGCAGAGCTGCTGCAACCCAGTTAAAGCAGGTTTGGAAGAGCTTTAGATGGTAGGTACACACATGTAGATGTGTACAATAAACTTTTGCAGGGCACGTGGCATTGCTTTCCTGTTAAAATTGGATGTGAATTAAAATTTAGTATGCAGTTATTAGTTTTAATAGACTATCCACAGGAAAGTAACAACGTGACGACGGGGAAGACCATCAGCCTGGTTGAATAGGGAGCTTTTGCTGGAACTTGGGGAGGGAGAAAAAAGAATTTATGACCTCTGGAAGATGGGGCAGACAACTCAGAAAAGGGTACAAGGGTGTTGTTAAGTCATGTAGAGGGAAAATTAGAAAGGTGAAAGCTCAGCTAGAACTCAATCTGGCCACTGCTGTGCAATATAATAAAAAATGTTTTTATAAATACGTTAACAACAAAAGGAGATCCAAGGAAAATCTCCATCCTTTATTGGATGTGGAGGGGAACATTGTAACCAAGAATGAGGGAAATGCTGAGGTACTTGATGCCTTCTTTGCCTGAGTCCTCAACAGAAAGACTGGTTATCCCCAGGGCAACCACCCCCTGAGCTGGTAGAGAGGGATGGGAAGCAGAATAGACCCCCTGCAATCCAGGAAGGGGGTCTTAAGACATTCCAGTCTTAGATTTAGTTACCTGCTCTGCCACTTAGACACTCACAGGTCTACAGGACCAGATGGAATTCATCCAAGGGTTCTGAGGGAGGTAGTGGAAGAGCTCACCAAGCTACTTGCACTGCAGGAAAGATACTGAGGTGCTGGAACGTGTCCAGAGAAGGGCAATGGGACTGGGAAAGGGTCTGCAGGGTAAGTCCTATGAGGAGCAACTGAGGGAGCTGAGGTTGTTTAGTTTGGAGAAAAGGAGGCTCAGGGGAGCCCTTATTGCTCTCTACAACTACCTGAAAGGTAGTTCCATCCCTGGAAGTGTTCAAGAAATGACTGGAGGTGGCACTTATTGCTATGGTTTAGTTGACGTGGTGGTGTTTGGTCGATGGTTGGACTTGATCTTGGAGGTCTTTTCCAACCTTAATTATTCTATGAAGTGCATTTATCCGTAAAATGTGATGCCCCAATTTTGGGAAGTGTTTAAATGCCCCCTTGATTACATTTCCCTGGTTTGAGTGGCTGGAGGACTGAACTTCCTGGCTCTGTCTATCTTAGAGAAATCTGTCACTTTGAGTAAGAATAAAACTTGACTGGTAAAAATGCAATCTTAGCACAGTATCACCATATAACTGGATCTTATTTATTTTTAATTGAAATGTCAACTTAAAAGATGCAGTGCATATTTTTAAATCACATTGACATTATATTTAGATTTTTTCATTAAGTTCTAGGTACGCAGTCCCATTAAAAGTAGGTAGCTATAAGTATAAAAACATGAAGTCTTAATGCTCCCTTACTAAATATTCAGGGTGCAAATGGGCATTGCTCTGGTAACACCTGTGAATAGAGCTATTCTGGCACATTTTAAAAGTGTCACTGGAATGAGTGACAGCCACCAATGTATGCATATTATTTCAGAATCATAGCGATGAAAGGAGCTCTCCTGCAACTGTTTCTCTTTACTTATAGTCCCATACCATTTAAATTTTTTTCTCAGTTTCAGGAAGAAAAGATTATGTGATTTTATTGCTAAAACAACTACTGCTTCTAACTGTGATGGAATGCAATTGTACACTGTGTACTGAAAGTCTAGATATCAGAAAAGTTTTGATCCCTGCACTCGAGGAGTGCAAGGCATGTATAGTTTGTCATAATTTATTTTGCTGGTTCTATCAAGAAATTCTGCATTATACTCCTCGCAGGGTTTTAGAGAAGTTAGTCCTACAAGGAAGCCAAATGACTTTTTGCTTTCTTCTCAAGGAGCACTTGCTCTCAGTCCCCAGGCAAGCTCTGTGTGCATGACACTACAGAGGGTGAGCTGTGTGATGGTGTGGAGATGCCTTTCCTGAGAAGGGGCTAGACCAGGCTCACGTGATTGATTATTTGTGGCAATGTGCTTAAGGAGGCAGTGAGAGCAAACCAGGGAAAACATGCTCCTATTCCTTCCTGCAGTCCTGCAATTTATGGTTCCACAGTCCTACTCAACTATGTGTGAGCACATTAGTTACAGCTTTGACCCTCCCAACTGGCTTCCTGTTAAATCTGTTAAAAAACAAATTCTTCGGTCTGGCATGTGAATGAACATTCCAGTCTTAAATAAAAGGGAAGGAATCAAGAAAGAATCTGATGGTTTTTTGACCAGCCAGAAAGTGAGGCCTATTTTTGGTTTTGGTCACTTTAGGCTGTGCTGCAAACATTGGCAGGAAGGTCTAGGGGCTCAGTGAGAGAGCATTTTTCTCTTCTTTATTTAAACAGGCACCTTCCCAGAAGAGTAACAATCCAAAGTTTACACTTCCAGTGAAATGCTGCCTGAGAAGTGCTGGATATAAAAAGGTATGTGATAGAAAGTAGAGGTCTGAAAAGTAAAGTAGAGCAGAACTAAATGCAAACAGCAGAGGATAGTACAGGAACTTGAAGTCTTTTTTCATTAGCTGGGGGTTTTGCATGATTTTTGTTTGTTTGTTTGTTTTTTTCTTCAGAGTTGTGCCATATGTTGCATTTTAATCATGGTTAAGGGGAAGGGAAATGAAACAATTAAAAAAAAAAGGCAAACCAAAACAAAGCAAAGCCACCTCCTAGCATGGAAAACCCTCTCCCATTTTAAAGTAGGGAAATAGGCTGCAGGGGCTTCCACAGGCCACAAAAAAGATGCCAGACTATCACTTTGTGCTCTTCTGCTGCGAAACTGTTGGGGTTTTTTGGGGGTTGTTTTGTTTTCCTTTTCTTTTAAACTTAATGAAACATTTCCAGTTGGTCTGTCTCCTCCACCCCTGCTACTGCTCAACTCCAGCTCTAAGTCACCTTTTCCTTTTTTTTCTTCTTTTCTATTTTAAAATGGTCAGTCATACATGTAAATCTGCCAGGTTGGTCAAAGACAGCTGTCGTGCACATGTGGAAGCCCAGCAGCTGCATTTCTGATGTATTGCCTGGTATCTGGCAACTGGATGGCTTCCTAGGATACATAGTGTTACATTCCCAAGGGCTGTGCAAGGAGCCCAACAGCCAAGTAGAACTCTGGTGTAACCTGTTAACTCAGCCTGGGTCTGCCAAGGCATGTGTGCTGTCTGAGTTCACCCTGACTGGCCTGATGCCAGCAATGCCCTACTCCAGCTGGTGCACTCATCCAGGGAAACAGACAGCAGGCTGCTCCTTCCAACCCCTCACCAGCATTTTAGGGAGAAGGTTTTTAAAAGCGCTTAGTGGATTTGTGTTTGGTCAAGACAAGTCACACTGAAGATTCTTCATGGGGCATGGGACACTAAACCCAACACCCATCCCTTTTCCGGGGGCTCCTGCTGGACGCTCAGGCCGTGGTTGCCACATGTTCAATGTTAGCTGTCACTTCAGGGATTTTTTAAGTACCTCTCTGGGAGTTACTAAAACTTTGGTGCAAAAGACGATGCCTTTTCACTTGCAGGCGACTCAAGTGCCTCTGTGATGACACACCAATTGCTGCAGCTCCACAGACACCGTAGAGGCTGGCAGACCTCTGGGTAGGAGTGATTGCACTGGTGTTTTATTAGCTCTCAGAAAATATATATCAGGGAAGAGGCCGAGCAGGCTCCTGCACCGTCTCCCTGAGCTCTGACCCTTCGGGCAAGAGGCGAGATTGCTTTTACAGCCAGTACTTAACCTTGCTCCTGAGACTTGTCAACAAGGAGGCCAATTAGCAGCAGATATGATGGTGGGTGATATAATGGAGATGTCTGTCTGTTAGGAGCATAACTGATGTGCTTTTAACACAATGTGTATCTTAAAACATGGCTCTGCGTAAATGATGCCATCCCCTCTACTGTAGAAAATCCCTCTACAGTGAAGTGTTACAGAAAATTGTAGGTTCATTACTTTGTTTTTTTTTCCCCTCAAAGTCCCTCTTAATCCTTGTTCTGCTGGGCTCATGATGACTATGGCATGTGTACAATTGTAAGAAATAATTCTGCTTGAAAAACATGTCAATTTTAAGTTAATTACTTTTTGAAAACATATATGGCATATTAAAAATGTACGTAGATTCAGAATGAAAACAGAGCACTTCTTTTCCTGAAAGGATCAGTGCCACCTGAGATGTTTTCTGTAATCACATTTGTATATTGATATATGTATCAGAAAAGACAGACTAAGGGAGAGTTAATTGATTAAAATTGTACAGGTCTACAAGCATGTTACAGCCACCTGCTGCAAAGGACAGTGGCTCTTTATGGCACATCAGCATGTGACACTAGTACCCCTATTTGAGTACATGTAGGGGTTTTCATGTAGGCTGATTGCAGGTGGATTGTTTATGTTTTGGTTGAGATTGGGCCTGAGCTTTTAAGCAAAAGTTTATCATAAGACTCTAGGGCTGGAGCTACAACAAGACTTGCACTTAACTGCTTGCTGACTACTTAGGCAGTCAGGATAATTCAGTCAGATAATTCACCCCCCTTGCAGCTTATCTTAAGTAATTCTGCTGTCTGGTTTTCGTGATTTAGAACTTAAACAATTAAGCCACTTCTTCATAGAATCATAGAATGGTTTGGGTTGGAAGGGACCTTAAAGATCCAGTTCCAACCCCACTGCCATGGGGAGGGACACCTTCCACTAGACCAGGTTACTCAGAGCCCCATCCAGCATGGCCTTGAACACTTCCAAGGATGGGGCATCCACAGCTGTTCTGGGCATGATTTGCATGATTGTCTTTTAGTTGCTAGGATAACTATTTATGCCTAGTGCAAAAAACTCCACATAGAGTATCATTGTATATTTTCTGTTACAGATATAGTCCGAGAGGAGAGAGAGAGGCCGCCTCTGGTTGACCATGACCTCCCAACCCAATGTCAAAGCTTTTCCTTCACCTACATAGTCTCCAGCAAAAGAGGAGCAGTGGATTTCAACTCCCAAGCTGTTAACAGCACCATGTACAAGGTACTGATAGAGGCCCTAAAAATTAGTATCCACGCTTCAGTAGAAATAACCATTTTTCAGTTGCTTAGACCTTAACACTGCCCTAACTGAGGGCAAGGGCACTCCACATGTATTTCATGTTTACATTAATTTATCTGAGGATAATTTTTATCTAATGAATACCCAGATTATTTTTTTTCTTGGTTAGTATTTAAATAGTCCAACTTCCTTTTAGGAAATTGAGTATCTTTTTTTGTTCAGTGGACTCAATATACCTTTGCTTCTTGGAAATTTGTCCGCTCTCAGGGTTTCCTTCCTTAGTGTCCTCTGTGCATTTTAGTTATTTCATTAATCTTTGGTAAAAAAAATAGGCTTTTCTACAACGCTGATGAGTACATGATGTTTTTACAATTTAAAAAAATAGATTTTCACTACAATATTTTAGTGCACCATGTTCTTTTATTCACTGCATAGCTCCTCTTTAAAGAAGGAGTTTTCCTGATTTCATTGGGGCCACTCCCAAACAAGGCCAGGTTCACTGAACTAGTGCTTAAGGATCTGATTTTTATGAACTGCATGTCTGATTAGAGTGCTCAGCAGAGGCATTATCCCCCTTGCAGAATCGACCTAGAGGGTTGGTACAAGCACAGAGCCCACAAGGTGAAGTCCCGTAGCCATCCTAGGACTATTTGCCATATTTCTTCATCAGTAGTGGTAACCAATTTTTCAATTTCAATCATTGATAACATCTTCCCTTTTTTCTTCATATCGTCTTGTTGGAGAATCCTTTCTCCCTGCCTCCAAATCAACTCTAAATATATTTAGGGTGGAAAAAAAAAAGAGAGGAAGGAAAACCAAAAGGAAACAAGAATATAGCCAACCTTTTTAATTAGAGTATATTGTACTTCCAAACTGGATACACTAGAAATTGGCAATGCAACATAAGATGCAAAGAAATATACCAGTTACTGTCAAAATGACCCTGTACAGCCTTATAATGCAAAAAGCTTTATACAATACAAATTTTTATTAATGTACACAAACCTTGACAGAATGATATTTGAACATAATACAACAAGTAAAAAAAAAAAAAGGACAGAAGAAAGAAAAAAGTGCTGAGAACTTTAACTGAATTACTGAATGGAAAAACACGCTAGCTCTCATTAAAGAATGCATAGTGAAAACCAGTATGAAATTACCTTTATGGTGGGGGGAATTTATCAGAACTGTTGGTCATTAATCAGTAGGGGGAACCTCTCGAGAACATTCCTTTCTTCAGCCTTGAACTGCAAACAAATTATTTTAATATGCATGAGCTCTGATAAATAGTGTATTTATTTTCTTAAAAAAATAAAAACCTCCTAACACACTTTTCCTTACAAAGAAAACTTCTATAACTTGCCAGAAAGAATTAATTTATCCTTTCCAAAGTGCTAAACAAATTTCCCAGGTACACTAAACATTACCATGTCAGATACTGGTACAGTGGAACACTGGTGACACGTGCACGCTGACAGCTCATTCCTGGAAGTTCCAGCCCTATTTAAACTGCCTTTTGGTTTATATAAAGTGTCCTACTAATATTCCTGCTTCCTCCTGGACAGGTGTACTTTACCTGTCAGTTTGACAAACAAGCTTTTTTGTTTTTTGAGTGTTTGCTTTTCTGTGATGAGGTCAGAGATACACGCATGGAGTGTGTTTTACAGAACTGGTATAGTTTCTGGATGCAGATTGCAGATTTCATGCTGCAGAGATATTACACTTTTTATGCTTTGAGTATTTACTAATACAGTATTTTCTATTTTGTCTCTACTCCTGGAGAGGTGTTACCAGGAGTTATGATGGAGTAAAGCATGGTTGTTTACAAAGGTTTATACATACTTTGGAGCAGATGGGTTTTCTGTACTGTGTAGACAGAACCACCACATGCTTGTTGGAACCAAAACTGCCTGCTGGAATGTAAATAAACTGGTGAGACTTCTCTGTCCTGGAATTAATATTTCCAAATGATAAGCTGCTATGATTTTAGATATTTCCCCCTTGTAAATAGCTTCCAGTATGTTAACAGGAGTGCACAGATTAGGGTGTCCTCCCCAAACAGGAGGAACTTGGTCATGACAGTGGAGAATGTTTGGCCATCTCAATACAAAACAGATGTAGGAATCTTGCAAAGAGGTTAAATGATGCAAGTTTTGCATCCAAAAAGTTTCTACACAAGCTTCATTTAAGAACTAATGAAGATTGAGTTACGTTTCTAGTTGTGCATATGGCTAAGAGCCCTGGTGGACAAGAAATGCCTTCCTGAACTAGGGCGTTGCTGTACTGCTGTCACGAACAAGGGGTTGTTGGATCCCCCCATCCCACAACAACCCGCTGGAGAAGTTCCTTCAGGGCAGCATGAGGGTGGGTAGATAGCATGACAGATGTGACTCAGGGCACTTCCTACAGTGGCTTGGCCAAGGGACAGCGAGGGGACTCTAGCAAAAGCTAGGTCGGACACTTCTAATACCTGGTAAAAGACAGTGAGATCCAAATCCAAGAGACACCGTGGAAAACAATAATTGAGTAAGAAGGCATTCCTGTAAGTCATACGATAATTTTGAAATGCTTCACATTTTATACCTCCAATTTTAATGCAGGGTGTTTTTAATCCCAGTCTTTCTTCCGGCACATTATGTTGTGTAAGGGGCACAAATCAATTAACAGTCAGTTAGCTGCTCTTAAATTAAGATCGCTCTTGGCATTTTGAGATTAACGAAGGTTATACAACCAATCCGCATTCGCTTCTTCCTGCAATAAAGTGCTACATGTAACATGTCATTTTAATGACCACAAGTAGGAGCATTAAATAAGTACAAAGTTAGCTTCCTAGCAGTGTACACTCTATCTGCCATTAACAAAAAGGAATAAAATATTACTAATGACATGGAGGGTAGCAATAGGACTGTCAAATTTGCAAGTACAATTGAAATACTGAGGGTATAAAAGAGAACTGTATGGTTCCAAAAGCGTCTTTTTATAGCTTTATATTTTAAAGAAGTTACTGGTACCTTTTCAAATAAACAGTCTTATTACCTTCAGCCCACAATTTGTTTTTTCTTTTTTTCTTTTTTTTGCAAGTGAGAAACAAACTAGTGCAAGACTAAAGCACTGTGCAAAACTGCCTTTTTTTTTTTTTAGTCTGAGTATTTATACCCAGAATTTAACCATACCCTTTTTTAAATCCCCTTGTTGGATTTTTTCCCACCATAGAATTCTAGTTATACAAGTTGTTTCCTGCAAACTAAAAGGTAACCACTGCATAATACAGTATATATATATATATATATATAATATTTATATGCCCTTTTAAAACAAAAGATGTATGCTATGGCCCAGATGCAGGTGTTTGTCACACCTGTGTAGCAGTTAAGAATTGGGCCTGCTGTGTGTATGTGTGTACATACACATGGTTTTCATTGTCATACTCTCATCCTGCAGTGCTGAAAGCAACCTTTTCCTCATCAGTTCTACCCCAAATCCTCAAACCTTGACAACTGAGTACAAGGCATCAAACAACTAAAGGAAGCTGCAAACAGCACTGAAATAATATACCAATCTCCCCCCCTGACCCAAACAATTGCTTCTTCCACAACTCCACAGTTTGGGGGGAAACAGGAGGGAGGGAGCGAGTGTGTGAAAAGGGGGAAAAGAATAATAATTAAATAAGCCAATCCAAGGGATGTGCAAAAGCAATGTCATGGCACACTACAGGCAGACTCTCTTTTCACGCACCCGCACGCACACAAAGCCCAAAAAATAAAATGCATCAATATGTAATCTTACAAGTGCTGATTGCCATTAAGGACACTCTTTTTTTTTCAGCTTAACAAGACAAAATAGTTTCTTAGATAAGAGTACTGGGAACATGCCTCTGAAGGTAGAAGTATGCAGTAGGTCACCTCTTGGAGATTTAATAAAGCAGCTTTCATGTCAATGCAATAAGTATATACACAGAGCCATTTGCTAAACCTTACTAACGCTATAGTACAAGTGTTCATTACCTCTTCGGTCTATGTTTTGCAGCCATGTATACCTGCTGGGTTTGTTGGGGTATTTTTGGTACAGAATGCAACTGCCCTCAGACAGTTTCTGCCCTTTCTGTTAGTCCAAGGTAGGCAAGGAAGGAGTGTTTAGGTGAAGAGGCACCTCCCGGTGCAGTCTGAGGTCGGGGTGGATGGAATGTGAGATCGTAGTGGTTTTTGGGGAAAAACATTGTTAAAGGAATAAGGTGGGCAAACTCTGAGTTCCAGTATTTATCAAAGCACAGGGAAGTGCCATTGACAGCCAAGGCTTTCACTGCCAAGTTCGGCTCTGCCCCGCTGCCCTGTGCAGCTGACATAGCGACTGTTTGCAGAGCCTGGGAGGCAGACATAACTGAGAGGGGTGACAGAAGGTTTCTGGAGCTGTTCACCGGTAGGAGAGGACTGGCTTCCTTGGAGGTTGAATACTGGCCCTTCTTCTCCTCTTCGGAGCAGTCCCCGTTCTGGTGCTTCTTCACGTGGCGGCTGAAGACAAAAGGGTGGGTAGTCTTGAACAGGCACTCGTCGCAGCTGAAAGTCTGGCGTGGAGCATGCTTCAGTTTCTTGTGCAAGTTGAGATTGTCTTTGCGTTTGCAGCTGTAGCTGCACTGGTCACAGTGAAAAGGGCGCTCGCCGGTGTGGACACGCACGTGCTCGATCAGCTTGTTGGCCGTCTTGGACAGGTACCCACACTGGTCACACTTGTAATGGTTGCCAAGGCGGTGTTCCCGGATGTGCATCTCCAGCTCCAGCTGATTTGCTTTCACTGTCTGGCAGATCCGACACTTGTACTCCATCTTGTAGTGAGTCTTCAGGTGGCACTCCATCGCTGCGGGGCGGTTTGTGGAGTAGATGCAGAATGGGCACCTGGCAACACAGCAAGGAAAGGCAGGGACAGAGAAGAGAGAAGTCACTCAGCTTGAAGACCTACATCCCTGGTTTAACCCTGTCACTCAGCCCCTCTCTGACCTGCTAAAGAGGAGAAAAAGGCACTTAGTTCTCCCTGTGAAGCCTCTTTCCAATACTTGGTTTGCCTAGACACATCTCTACTTAAAGGGGTTTTGCCCATTTAATGGCAGTAGAGTTTTCCTAGGAAAACACTGATTCACTCTGAAGCAGCATCCCTTTAACCTTCTGGCTTACCTTGATGGGGAAGATTCTGCAAAGCAGGCCGGGTAGTGCAGAATGGGTGACTGATGCACAGGTACTTTGTGTAACGACATTCCTAGTGTTTGCACGGAGTCACTTTGGCCATTTTTTCCATTAAGTGGTTTAAAGTGAGTGTTTACAGATGAGTATGAAAGCAGCTGTTTAAGTAAAGATGGAATAAACTTGTAATACCACACGTACAGCAAAAGCTTAGGAAATTCCTTTTATGTGACCTTGAACAGTAAGTTTGCTGGGTATCCTGCTCGGAGCAGCTGAAAGCCAGGCTGTTAGGAGGATTTGTAGGGATTCCCATTTCTGGGACATGAGCTAGGCACGCTTAAAGGGGCGTGTGTTTGGCAGTGTTTGCCTACATCCGCCTCTGCCATGGTAGGAATCGTTCCTGTGCAGGAACAGGATGTGGGTTCTGCTTACTCACAGCAGCAAGCATCCGGCCCAGGATGGACATGGCAAAGGGCCTCACCCCAGTTCCTGAACCAGGAAGGGCCTGGAAGGCTAGAGGAGGGAATTGTGTAAGCTTGGAAAGAAGCCTGAGCTGCACGCTGAACAAGCCTGGACACCAACAAACCTGAAACACACCCGCTTTTGCTTTGTGTAGCTGAGAGGACAACTAACTGCCAGGGATCTCTGCCCTGTTAAACCAAGCACACAGCCTTTCAGATTGAGCTGGTGAGCTGAAAGAGCAGGACTGGATAAGAAGATACAACTAAGGCACCTGGCTTACAGTCTTACAGCTGCCACAGATCCGCATTCACTGCTTAGCAGGTCCGCTAATTGCGTTCTAGCATTCTGGATACTTTCTAAGATGAGTTCCTCTCTCTCCGGGTGTGTTTTCCTTGCTACAACTGGTTGCACATACAGGTTTAATATTAATCTATAAGCTAATCGAGAGACTTTTGAGGAAAGTGAGTAATACAGGAGGACAAAACCGATACTAAAACATCTGGACACTTCTCCTGAGGCACATCAAGTACTCTGATCCAGAGAGGGAGCCTGGCATTGAGGCTTCTACTGTGATTAGCTCTACTGCAACAGAGGACTTGGCTGTCTATGCACACATACCTCTCCTGGGCTGGGTGCTCTCTGGATCAGAATCTCAGATTTTGACCTGGAGCTGGAAGAATCATGTTTTTTTCTCTTCCCCCACAGCAAACAGGAGACAGAAAAATACAATTTACTTAGATCTCTTCAGGCTTTTCTGGATGCCTTAAAAAAAAATAAACCAGAGCTTTTTCTTAGGTGCAGCTTTCAAGGTAACTAATTATTACTTGAATTGGGCAGGAATAACTTATGTAGACTAAAAAGCATATTCTGTCAGGAAGACTTGAGTCATAGGTCATGGTTTTTCCTTGGTAAATAGAACAGATTTTGTGCAGCTTAAATCAAATGTGCATTAGACAACTGGTCTGTATGTTCAAGACAGACATCCCCTCGTTCTGGCACATTACTTGTTTCTCAATCTGGTCTTCTTCCCAGATTCAGTCATCACATCTCAAGTGACCGCAGATCTCAGTTTATGGAACTACTGAGCTGGAGACCAGACGCTGCCTGGCAAACAGAACCAGTTTTCAAAAGCTGCAGCACAAACCGATAGAGCCGCGCGCGGTATCGTTAAATGTGGTGTGCTCGTCACGGCACAGCTACAGTGCACTGAGAACATCAGTCTGCTTAGCAAGAGCAACAGAAGCTGGGAGCCCTGTGCTGAGCCCTAGCTGGGCTCCAAGTGGTCCCAGCCTTTTTTCCTGCAGCAGCTGGAACAAACAGAGACCAGGGATGTGCCTCTTTCATAACATCACATTGCCTGCCCACAGAGAGCAAGCATATGGCCCCAGCAGTCGCTCCTTCCCTCAGGGGTCTGACTTTGACATAAGGTCACATTCTTTAGCAACACTGCTCTGCACCAGTAAGACCTTAAAGTACACCACTGTAGCCAAAACCAAAGGGCTTTTTTCTCAAAAGACTGTATTACTGGTTACAGGTTAATTTATCCAACAATGATTATTCTGGGCATGTAAACCAAAGCAGAAAGCATCAAAGTTATTCATTCCTGGAGAGAAATGATTTTGCATTAGAGCATACAAAGGTTATAATCTTTAAGGTTGTAACTTGGTAGCTAGATGCAGAGACTGTACAGGGTTTAGTCTTTTTTGAGTCAGGTGCAGAACAGAGCCTGTGCTGTGTGCTTGCCTTTGCTCTAATAAAAAAAACAACCTTAGTCTGCCAAAACCTGTGCCTCATTCTCTGTAGGGCCCATCACATACTGTCTCCTCTTTGACATGAAAAGGGAAAGGACCACAGTTTGCTGCAGCTCCAAAACACCAGTGGATAGTAGGTTACCAATCTGCTCTAATGATGCAAGCCTAAAGGACAGGGCATGGTTCATTAAATAAAAGGAAGCCCCAGATCTGAATTATCAGTTAACCAACCCTTTCTAATTGACTTCCTTTTGTCCTATCCCCACAGAATTAGAGATGCTTAACACAGTAAAAGTTTGTGTACTTGCTTTCCTTACTTGAGCCCACCGGTGGGGACAGTGTGGCATTTCTTGTGCTCCAGTAATTGTTCAGGTGTCTTCATGAACTTGTGGCACACGTCACACTCGAACATCCGTGTGATCAGGTGGATTTGCAGGTGACGCTCAAACATATTTTTTGTTTTGCAGACAAAGTTACAGAAAACACATTCAAAGCCTGAAAAATAGAACAGGAAAAGGTATCCCTGACATTGTGGCCAGATTGACTGCATAGAAGGGGACAGTTTGCATTTGTTAAACAGTGTTTTACCTTTCTCTGACTTCTCTTCAGCGTTCACTGAGGTCTGACTACCAGGCACTACAGAAATGACTAGCAGGTTGTTTGACCCCTTGTTTTTTGGGGTTATATCTGCATCTTCTTTGCTGTTGGCAGAGTCGCTCAGTGCTGACAGCGAAGATGAAGATGGACTGTTAGATTCACTGGGTGTCTTCCTCTCTTCAGCTGAAAAACACAAATAAGGAGCAATAGCTGCTTCAGCAGATTAGACAGAATTTCTGTGATCCTGTTTTAAATTTCAGGAAGTATTTATATTTAAAGTTAATTCAAACATGCTTATAAAACAAGGCGGAAATTAATTGAGCTGATAAAAAAAATCATTGTTGGGCCTCCTTCCTTTTTATTAGCACTTTAACCACAATACATCTCTCAGTTTATTCTACAATTGAGTTTGCCTGTAATGGTAGTGGGAAGGGATCATGCAAATCTACCTCATTACCAGACTAAAAAAATCCCAAGAAAACACTTTGATTACTCTGAGTTCAAAACCAATGAAGAACTTGTCACTTAGAAAGGAAATAGAACTTCTGTAGTTTTGGGGTGCAGAAAGCAGTTTAGCTACTTGTCCAAGCTAAACTTCCCCTACCTTTCTGTTTATGTGGGTCCAATGGGTAAATTTGGGAGGAAGGGTAATAGAGAATAATCTCACTCCTTGTAGTGAAGAGCATCCTCAGCAATCATTGTAAGAGATACCTGTGTGGTCTTGAGATTTACTTGTTTTTATTAGGATCTCTTACTGAAGATAATTGAAAACAATGTTATTTAACTGGACCCAGAGATAAAGCCCATCAGAGCATCCTTATGTATGCAATAAATGTATGAAGTTCAAATCCCAAACCCTGTCACACACCAGAAG